CGCGACAATCGTCCTGTCCGTAATGATGGACCGGTCCCAATAGAGCCTGGCGCGGTCATTTTCGAGCACGGCCTCCGGAGAGTACTTATAATACGGCAGTTTTCGTTCCACGAGGCCGTATTTCAGAGCGAGCTCCTGGTGTAGGATTCTGGCTACTAGGTTGTGTCTATGCAGATACTCAGAGTTAGAAAGCATGGAACAACCGGAGATAACATGCCGTAGCGACTCCCCGGGATGGCGACAAGCTCGACAGATGTCGACGGTGCCATCCTTTAGGATGTATCTCCGATAGTTGTTCGTCTTAATAACCTGATCCTGTATCGCACAGACAAAACCTTCGGTTTACCCAAAGATGTCACCGAAACGTAGCCAGTTAAGGGAGGCAACAGTATCTACGAAAGGCTCGTGTAGAGCCTTGTAGAACCTCCCGTGGAGCTCTTTCTCCTTCCATACGGCCTCTCGGTCGGAAACGCTCAGTACTCCCGGGTCCTGCCATTGCTCGTTGGCTAAGGATAGAGGGGTAAGTCCTTTATCACAACTAATGACGTCCGTGTAGATTGACTCATCCGATCTCGTCAGGAAGTAGTTGCGGAGGCTGCACACCTCGCGATTGTGCATGGTAAGGGCGCCCAAAAAGCCCCTCCTGCATTCTGTGGGACGTCATAGTTGTGCGGACTTTTCGGTCGGTCCAGGGCATTGAGCTCAGTTTGAGTCCACCTGAGTATGCCAAAGGTATACATGAGGACTGGCATGACCCAGCCGTTAAATGCCTTGTTCACGCCTGACAAATGGCTGTCAAACACCTTTGTCAGGCGTGCAAAAAACACATCACGAACTGACTGTTTCATGCCAGCCTCATCGATACACATGTTTTGTGACATACCCAGGTATCGGTATGTTTCAGCCTCAGAGAGGGTCCTTATGTTAACGGGCATAGATAAGTCTATTCCCGCCGTATTAGTGACCTTACCCCTCTCGACATGAAGGACCGCACACTTATCCGTCCCGAGCTCCATTTTGATAGAATTGCTGAAATCACAAGTGACTTTAAGCAATTCCATCAAATGGGAGCGATTGGAGGCGAATAACTTGAGGTCATCCATGTAGAAAAGGTGGGTCACTTTTGTCCCTCCTCTCCGAAGCTGAAATCCTCCCCCCGAGCCCTCCAGTAATACGCTGAGAGGATTCAGGGAGAGGCAAAACCATATTGGACTCATATTATTATTATTATTTAGATAATGTTCATCGACATGACATTCATTTTTTTATAAAATAAAAGTTAATAATTTTAATAAAGGATTATTGATGAATTTTCTCATTAAGATATAATTAATATGAATTCGTAAATAATATTTTTAACATAACATTTTAGACGAAGACATAAAGAGAACAAACATAAACGTTTTAATAATTTGGTCGTACTGGTTTATAAGTAGACAATTACTGATTTACAGAAAATTGGCCTAATTATATACATATAATTAATTTATTACCTTTATTTGAAATTATTGTCTTACCCCCCGATTTGATTACTCTTATAAAAATAAGCGCTAAAATATTTATTCAGTTCATTCAATTATTTTCAGCTAGAAGAAAGCCTATCTGTATGGAACGCGAGTGTGAAATTGATTCGGGACAGTTTTAAATTAGAAGAAATAGAGACCACTTTTAGGGATGGCTCGAAGAAGAGAATATGGAAAGTGGAACGTCCCATGCCCGAATTGACAGAGACAGTCGATTTCGTACGTCCACTCATTTTTAATAATCAAGAATTTGCAAAACAAAAAGACAATATACGTCATTAAATTTTATGAATAGTAGCCATGTACATCGTTAAATTACTATTTAAGTATAAACTTAAATAGTATTAAGTAACTTGAATGTATAATAGCCATGTTCACCTTCAGTGCCGGATTAAGCAAGCGCGGGGCCCGTAGCAAATTCTTTCAAAGAGCCCTTGATCTGCTACGAGTTCTTAAGTATAGAGTGGTAAAAAAACAATTCAATATTCAATACGTTTATTTGCCGTCTATAGGTTACAATTTTGTGGGTAATTAATAGTCTAATTAGATTAATATCGGCCCTGTACAAAGTAGTACCCACAAGTACAAAAAGCCAGAGATGAGATTGCCTGGCAATTTACAATAATTTTGATAAAAAACTAACAATTGAAAACTGAGGATACTACACAATATTTTTTTTGCAATACAACATTCGACGCTTCTTTACGTGTCTATGATTCCTACACATTATCGCAATAATATTATCTTTTTCTGTCTTATCGCAGCTACAGCTTCTACCATCGGCAATTGGCAAACGCATATTGGCCTATTTACCCTTTGCTCAATTGAATGAGTACACACGTGTTAATAAATATTGGGCATATCTTATTGAAGAGTTTAGAGCGGAACTAGCAACGAGGCAGAAGATAAACGCTGAGCTAGAGAAGTTGCGAGTATATGATTTTCCTTTACATAGGGTCCCAAAACTACTATGTGAATGTACAGTGCACCCTAATACCCACTGTTCAGAGTAGACTTTTGCCCAACGATGGGACATATATATGCTGTTACTTTACTTTTCTGCTTTATTGACTTAGAAAATATGGCATATCGACACCTTCATGCTACAATATGATTCATTTGCAAGATTTATTAAGATTTTTTAGAGTCCGACCAGAAAGATAAGAAAAACCTTTACATATTATTTCGACAAACCAATGTAATACAATCAAAATAGTTTTTTCTACCAATGGTCCTCGTATAGATGTTGTGTCATTGAGCAGGTTTCGGGGTTTAAGCTATCTAGTACTACGCTTTTAAAACCTTGGTAGAACATCTGATCACTTTCGTGTCTCTAATTGAACACCCTTCATCCAATGTTCTTTTCGTTTGGGGTTTTGTGGAAATCTGAATAGAAAATAAATAAGACATGCAAATTAAGTTATCTGAGGCAGGGGTGAGCAACCTTTTTAATTAATGGGTCAATTTAAATTTCAAATTTTTTGTCGGTTCGCACATAATAATTTACGAAAATTTATAATAAATATTAGAATAAAAAAATATGAAATTAAAAAAAATAAAGATTTCATATAAAAATTTTAATGCAAGGTAAAGACAAACAAGAAAAGAACAGAAAAACGAACAAAAAATATTTCTTGTCAGTATGTACCACCATTTTATTATGATTAATTTTATAACATATTGATACGAGAAATTCGATAAAATAAATTCAATTTTAGAAATGCTTGGCGGGCCGCTTAAACATGTTTAAGGGGCCGCAAGCGGCCCGCGGGCCGCGCGTTGCTCATCCTTGATCTAAGGCATTTAAGAGTTCTTCATAAATTCAAATATAAAATTAAATTATCAAGGTAAAGTAAGTTACCAAATTTATAAATTGAAATGATTACATTGAAAATCTTTGATTTAATTAATTCGTCTGGCATAATGTCATCCCTGGACAGGCCTTTACTAAAACCGCCTCGGGGCACAGTTTATAAGCTCCGCACCGTCTTGTAAGTTGTGCGATTATGGAGCAACAATAATGATTTAATGTTTTATTTGCGTTCACTGTAAATAACCAATTTTTAGGATATAATGCTTCGGAACGACGATAGCACGGATACTTCCATAATATCAGGCTACCGCATAGAACGTTCAGACTCCCAACTGGCAAGTCAAATGGCGTCAGTAAAGACTCACGGTTTACCAAGTATACGTGCTAGTCAAAAGTCAGGGCCCTATTCGTTCAGATTTATAAAAGAGAAAATTAATAAGGGTCCGAGATATTTTGTAAGTAATACATAAGAGTACATGCATATATATTTACTTTCACGCACACCGTTAGCCAAAGATAAAAAATCTTTACACTACATACAGTCATACACATACATACACATCGCTGACAAAACTATTTATTTGTATAATGATTATATATAATTTTATTCAGGTTCGCAAGCCAATTCGCAACATGACTGATATGTATGAACGCTTAGAACAACGTGGCGCTGCAGATGAAAATATATGGAAATGGTGTAAAAATGTGTTAAAGCAATATAAAGAGACTGATGGAGATGAGGTAATATTTATTTCAGTTTAAAGGTAGCTGATTTCAACTCTCGAAAAATTGTGTAATTTTTATTTGTTTTTATAGGATTCTCAAGTGTTTGCAGAATCCCTATCTTTGAACGATGAACATTTTCCACGATATTTAATGAAGCAAATTGTGAAAGTACCACTCTATAGACCACTTATTAAAGATCCTGCTGCTGTCAATGTTCCAAATAAGTAAAATATAATATTCAATGTTTTAACAATATTAGTATGAACATATTATATTTGTTGGTTAAAATATTATTCTTTTTTACTACGCAGAACAGAAACTTTCAAAGTAAAACTATCAAAATATACGATTGATCAACAGGAGGAGCTTCACAGACAAGATAATCGATTTAGTTTATGGAGTCGAGACTTTTCTAGTTTGTATCCAGCATCCAAAATTGCATCACATCAATCCCCGTTTTAATAATTTGGAATCATTAAATACCTTAATTGTAAACGCACATAATGGCAGCGTACATGATGTTTAGCCCATAAATTTCACTTCCTCATTTACATGGTTTTAACGAAAATTGATGGTTTAAGATTTTCATGTGTTAATTGTTTTGTTTTATATTTAATAAATGTTTTTAAAAGTAATACAGGTTTAAATTTTTTTTATATTTAATATATTAAATCTGTATGTAGTTAACCTGAACGGTGATCTGCGTGAAACGAAGCGTTGATTATTTTGATGGCTGCTTGACATTTAGTTATGGTTGTCATTTGTCAAATAAGCTTGACGTTTGTATTTGTATCCGACTAATTTCTAGAAAGAAAATAAAGATCAGACTGCTTATAATCCTTGCGCAAAATCAAAGTGCGTACAAACAGGCCAATAATTTAAATTATGAACTTTGTGATAATTTTGTAATATAAACTAAGAACAGAAACTTAATAAAAATGAGCAAACATATGTACTCTACTGCTAATCTCACTGACAAAGAATTGAAAGAGCAGGGAAACAGATTATTTAGTTTACGAAGATTTGAAGATGCCATGAACTGCTATACTAAGGCGATTGTGAGTGTTCTATTGTGTTGTGCAGCTTTTATTGTGGTTCCGTACACGTGATACCCCAGAAATGGAATTCCGTATTATACACGTTTCAGATCAAAAACCCTTCTGTGGCCACATATTTCACAAATCGTGCGTTGTGTCACTTGAAGATGAAGCGATGGGAGTCGACGTGCAATGACTGCCGTCGCGCTCTGGACATTGATAATAACCAGGTCAAGGGACATTTTTTCCTTGGACAAGCACTAGTCGAACTTGACTGCTATGATGAAGCAATCAAACATCTCCATCGAGGTAATTTTATTACACCCAAGACTTGCACTATATGTATATGTAGAAAACTTATTATCTAAGCTTAAATGTTAACAAAAACAAAAATTTTAAAAAAATATTTACTATACATTTTTTTCTAACCATTAATTCTACATAAAACTTCTACATAAAAATTCTACATAAAGCTTCAAATTAATTTTAAAGCATTATAAACAATAAAATATATTTTGATTTAAAAAGTTGGCAAGCAAGCTGGTGTTTCACCTGATGTTACATGATTTACCTATGCTAGAGGAGAACTATATTAACTATTGGATTAAGATGTGTTGCCAACTATTAAAAAAGTGGGGCCTGGGTACCTCACCAGATGAAATGTGTAATATTTCTACTTCACGCTGGTTTTCTGTGATATATCTTAATGTCTTTAATTGGCACTGCGGGGTTTCGGAATTGTATAATTATGCAAAATGTTTTATGTGTAATTGAAGAAGTAAAAAGCTTCTGACAAGAGAAAGAATTTTCATAAGTGATACTGGTATATATTTATATGTATCTGAAAATTGAAAATTTTGTTCGAGAGAAATCGAGTATGTCATTGACAGAGTAATGGATAGCTTAACAAGCTTTTAATGATTTTAGCGAAAGCTAGTCTAGTCTCTTTAATGTAATACAATGATACTTTATGCACCATAATTATATAAAACCTTTTAATTTGGTTTTATTTAGAAGTCTATTTTATGCAAATAAAGGTTGATTGTTTATTTTACTATTAAAATTAAATTTTATTAATTAAGTGCAATGGCACAACATTAATATTCGTTATTTTTTTTAAGAATGAACTAAAGACTAATTAAATTAGTTTGAAATAAAACTGTTATTCAGTTCTGTAATATGTTCTGTAGTATGTGGATATGGACTCAGCAGTGTTTTAAACAACTGTCAAGAGTTATAACAGTGTGTTTTTCTTGAATAATAAATTTTACTCACTTTATTTTCTGATAAAGTTTTCAATTTAAACTCTGGTTAGCATCGTTTGAAAAGCCTCTTCGCTACATTTTGGTAATAAAGTTTCAGTGTCATTGTATTTCTGTTAAATTTTTCTTTAGATATATTAAGTATCCAAAGTTAGATGTGCATTATTTCCATTGGCATAAAAGAAGCTAAGAACAGAAAGTAAGACTTAGATGACATAATAGTGCATGCATACATTGTAATAGTTTAGGTCGTACATAGCATTCTATTTATAGCAATCATATCAGCTTAGCAGCAATAATTAAATTTGCAGAAAACGGAATTGTCATTGTTGTTAAAGTTTAATATTTCTTTTTGTAGCCAATGACTTGGCAAAAGAACAAAAGCTTAACTTTGGCGATGATATTGCTGCACAGCTACGTATTGCAAGGAAAAAGAGATGGAATGTACAAGAGGAAAAGAGAATATCACAGGAGATTGAATTACAGACATACCTTAATAGGTGACTATTTTCCATACAATTATATATAATATGTATAATGAAACCCATGCTAACTGTTTATTTATAAAGACAAATTAGGGCAAAATTATCTAGATCTGATGTTGGTTTTGCTAATCGTAAGTTTGAATGTATTTATATTTCGTATATATTTTATTTTATGCATGATTACAGATTCAGTATAATTGTGTGCATGATTACTTAAAACATAAACTCCAAATTAATGTATATTATGTGATATCTAAACAAAAGGACTGCATACAAGAGTTTATTTAAGTAGTTTTCCCTTTACATATTTACTGTCTCTATGATATAATAATTTAAATGTAGGCCAACCGACTTTATTCCTAATTATAATAATAAATATAACTGTTTACAGGCTCATTAATGAGGATATGCAACGGCGAATAGAATCACTAAAATTAGAAAACACAAATGAAGAAGAGGCTAATTCAAAAATTGCTAAAGTTGAAGAGGAATGTGTAAGTATAATTTGGTTAATTATTTGTATAAAGTAATTTAGTTTATGATATGTACAAAGCTTTTCAATGTCAACAAACTTGTTACTATATAAACGGAAACTTATTGTGACTTTTGTTTAGGTAATTAGCCTCCAGAATTAAAATGTTTAAACACACATTTTACAATGTTCTGAGATGCTCCATTTAGTTGGCAGTAATATTCATTCGCACAGATAAAATATAAAAATTGTCTTAGCCTGTATTGTTGTTTTGTTTCAGAATAACTACAGTAGTGAGTTAAATAATCTATTTTCCAAAATGGATGAAAGGCGGAGAGTAAGTATTTTATTTAGTAGATAGTAGTAGTAAAGTAATTAGCTTTTTGAAGCTTTATCTCCTGATAAAAGTTAATGTCAATAAAAATAAAATTTTTACCTCCTGTGGAAATTGTAATAAATACGGAATTCTTCAAATTTATTAAAGATTCTTCATGTGTAAAAATGCTAATTGAATATTCTTTCTAATCCTTTTAAGTGGGTTGTGGGTTCTACACAACATATCTATTATAATGGTATTTGCTTCTTACCTCAACCCTTCTTGGGAATAAAAACCAAATTCGGAAGAATTATCTATGCGTAACACAAGTAATTGACAAGTGTTGATCAAATTGTATATAATCAAATCTATACATAAGTTTTTAATATTCATTGAATAATTATAATAATTTGAATTTAAAGGGCCAAGCTCAATCTTGGGAGAAAAGGTATATTATTCTATTGAAACAGAGAAATACCTAATGCAAATTTTATCAAGTCAATTTCCATTAGGATAATGAGAAGTTATGAGATAATAAAAGATTTTCTGTTTCAATAGCTGGCAGAGCGGACAGATATAAATTGATTTTTTGATCCCAAGAAATCTGTAAAACTAAACAGATAATTTGACTTTCATCAAGATTCTAAACTATGACATTAACATCCCGAGTCCAACACTTATGCTACTCAAATACAAAAATTGTTTGTGCCATATTTTTTTTATGGGTGAAAGTTGGCAAATGATCATATTGATGAAGGCAGTTCAAGTGATGTTTTATGATAACCGTCACCTTTTTTTTACTTTTATGCGACAAAACACAAATTTTACGGGAGAGCCAAAAATGCGTGGAGTGAATCATTGAAGCATTATTGATTATGTCATATACGATTGGATATTTTATTAATTAGGCGTCGTAGGACTTAGGCGCTTTATACTATTGTGTATAATTTGCTCTTGCGATTTTAATACTGTAAGAAAAATAATTTTGAAAAATGTGGAGTTACTATTGTATGCCTCTGAGGTACAGATATGTCAACCTTATAGAGATTAAGCCTTCATCAAAAGTAAAAATACTTCGCACAATATGTTTGTTTTCTACGTTTCAGCTTATTTGTGCAATAGCAAAAGCAATTGCATGACTCAACTATAGTTATAATATATTAAACAATCTTTTTTGTTTTTATATTTTTTGTACATTTATTTCAAAAGAAATTTTAAGTGCATTGCAATAACAATACAAATAAACTTACAGAAACGCGATGTGCCAGATTACTTGTGTGGTAAAATTAGCTTCGAAATTCTTAATGAGCCAGTAATCACTCCAAGCGGTATAACCTATGAGAAGAAAGATATTGAGGAACATCTAGAGGTGCGTGCAAACTCTTTGACAACATCCTCTGTAGCATTTTCTGTATCAAAGCTCTTTGTGATACGGTATGTCACTACAAAAAATTGACAACACTTGAAAGTGTCAACCACTCTGGCAACTCAGAAAGCAATGGCGCCTGAGGCCGATGTATTGGGCACAAGTTGCCCTTCTAAGTGCTCTGCCAGAATGTCACTTGTACACATATATTTCACGCCTTTTACTTTTATTCACTTAGCAGGGGTTGCCAACACGTGGAACGCGATGGTCGTTTGACTGTCATCACCCCTATTTTAGACACTGATTACATTTACACAATATACAGTTTGTTGTCCTACAACCTTAGCTTTTGTACATAGACCAAAATGTACTTCTGTACAAAGTGTAAACAAAGTAGACTCGATGTAAGTACAAAGTACGTAACTCACACTTCTCATTACCCACGCAGTCGTGTCAACAAATCGAACGCGACACTAGGATAAAAAGTAGATCTTCTGCAAAAATGTTGGTCACCCCTGATCTATGTATGGTATAAACTCGTGTGTTTTTTTTTTAATTTCAGCGGGTCGGGCATTTCGATCCCGTAACGCGAGTGAAGCTGACGGCGGACCAGCTGATTCCCAACTTCACTATGAAGGAGGTGGTCGACGCGTTCCTTCAGGAGAATGAGTGGGCACTGGATTACTAGCTGAACAATGCTTACCGATTATCGTCTTCGTTGTGCATAATCGTCCGTCTCGATTAGATCGGTTACTTTCATAGATGTAAAGGATGGATGGTACCAATCGGCGTTTTACCACCTCATTCTTAACGTTCCGTGGTCCATGTAACCGATCCATTGTATTAAGTTTATGTAGCGTGCAACAAAAAAACAACAATATTATGTACCTTCTAAAGAATATGTTGAATTGTTTTATAAACTAATTCACCCTTTTTTGTAAATGACATTAATCAATTTTATTTTTAATATCGTATCCTTACAAATGAGCTCCTCGAGATTTCGTTATTTCACAGAATTTGATCTTTATTAGTGACGCTATGAAATGGTAATAATCCGGTATGTATGTAAATTGGCGGTTTTATTCTTCATCAAAATCGGGCTCTACTACTATTTTTCGGCTGTTTCGTATAGTTTCGGATTTGGCCGTCCACATAAACTACATGGGATCCGTTAAAAACCTGTCAAGTGCGAGTCGAACTAGTACGACGAGGGTTCCGTAGCTACCCATTATACCGCCATGATAAATTGGGATGTAATCATAATCATAAAGCAACTACTCTGATACAGATTTATACTATTGTGGTTACTGAAAATAATGCCGCATACAAAATTATTACTCAATTGAAACGTTCGATTTTTTTTTATCTTACGAGGCTGCAGTTTTAATTTGTATTAATGTTAATATCCTTATTTGAATCTGTCACAAAAATGTTGCCATACTGGGGGCGACATAAGAAAAAAAAACACCGACTCCATTCTCTATCTATCAAAATAGTTTTGTTTTATGTAACAACCGTTAGTAACCAATTAATTACCAGTTTAATGTTATTCACATTTGACGCAATCTCTTTGCAATATTTGAATGGCGGAACAGTTTGGTTGTGAAAACTGGTGTTAGTATGTAATAATAATAAATGCAGATATTTACTTTATAAACTTTCACTTTGACTTTAATCCGTATTTAAATGTATAAAAAATGTATTGTATATTTTGGTAAATTAGCCCAGTAGTGTTCTTTTAGTATTAATAAGAAGTTTATTTGTAGAAAAACAACTACCGTGTAGCGTAAGAAAAAGGTATAGTTGGTAAATTAATAATTTTAATCGAAATATTTTATCTCAAATTCCTCATTGCTTGGCGATATTTGTCTAGACAATATCTCATTTATCATAGCAGTATTTTTTTTTTAATTTGTAACGAATAGTAATAGTCATAAATAGAATTAATAAACCCTGACGAATGATATTTTATACTATAGATATGTTATTAACGCGTCAGGAGTGAAGTCAAGAAAGCGCCCTATTTTCTTTGTATTCGTGGAAAACAAAGAAAGAGGCAGCAAATAACTTTAATACGGGGACGAGAAAGACGGATGCACCTCGAGATTTAAAGCTAAAGTGACAAACACTTGCCGTCCTATATATATATATATATATATATATATATATATATATATATATATATATATATATATATATATATATATATATATATATATTTATATTTATATTTTTATATATATATATATATATATATATATATATATATATATATATATATATATATATATATATATATATATATATATATATATATATATATATATATATTTATATATATATATATATATATATATATATATATATATATATATATATATATATATATATATATATATATATATATATATATATATATATATATATATATATATATATATATATATATATATATATATATATATATATATATAAATATATATATATATATATATATATATATATATATATATATATATATATATATATATATATATATACATATATATATATATATATATATATATATATATATATATATATATATATATATATATATATATATATATATATATATATATATATATATATATATATATATAATATATATATATATATATATATATATATATATATATATATATATATATATATATATATATATATATATATATATATATATACATATACATACATACATACATATATATACATAAATAAGTAAATAAATATATATATGTCGCATTTATACTGCCAAGGAAAGGTAGTGATCCTTAACTCTTTTCTTAAAAATCGATATAGTTTTAGATTCCCTGATTATCGGTGGGAGTGAGTTCCATAATCGAACTGCATGAACAGTAAAGGAATCGGAATATGAAGCGCTTTTATGGGGAGGGTATTTAAGAAGGGTTTTAAGATGGGAACGGCAAGGAGCGTACGGTGGACGAGCGAAAGCAAATCGCTCACGCAGGTAAGATGGTGAAGTAGGGCAGGATATTAAAGAGCAGACATAAAATCCTAGTGTTCCTTCGAAATCGTATTGGGAGCCACTTGAGATCCTTGCGAAGATGAGAGACGTGATCAAATTTACGAAGTCCAAAGATAAAGCGTATACATAGATTTTGCAAGCGCTCAAGCTTATTTAGAAGCTCCTCAGTAGCATCCAGGTAACAGACGTCAGCGTAGTCTATGATGGGTTGGATGAGCATTTGGGCCAGACAGATTTTAGTCTTTAAGGGCAATACACCCTGGAAGCATTTAAGAGCATGAAAAGAATAGTGAACTTTCGACTAATTTCACTTACATGTGCACGCCAGGAAAGATTAGATGATATTATTATCCCAAGATCCTTGACGGTTTCAGTGTAAGGTATGGGTATATCGCATAACTTTACGGGGGGTATAGTAGAGAAATTGATCGAGTTTCTTGCATACCTAGTACCGATAATTATCGCCTGTGATTTAGTGGAATTAAGCTTGAGTCCAAATGATTTCGACCAAGAGTTTATTCGGTTTAAATCTTTGTTAACAGTAGCAATAGCTAAGTCTGCTTGTGCTGGAGGAAAATGATGGTAAAGCTGCAAATCGTCTGCATAGAGGTGAAAATTGGAAGAAATAACTGTTGTGACCGAGTTAATAAAAATGGAAAAAAGTAAGGGAGAGAGAACGCCACCCTGAGGTACACCCGCGCTTAGTTCACAAGAGTTAGAGAATGAATTTTCTATGCGAACGCGCTGCGAGCGGCCCCGAAGATAAGAGTCAAACCAATTTATAGCAGAAGAGGAAATGTTAATTGAATGCCTTCATTCAATGCCGAGTAAAATATCAAAATCAACAGAAGAAAAAGCGTTACTGAAGTCAAGTAACACCAGTAAAGTAAGTTTATTTGTCTCCATAGCCCATCGAATATCGTCTGTAACTTTGAGGAGAGCAGTAACAGTACTGTGACTGGGCTGAAAACCGGATTGGAAAGAACTTAAAAGCGAATTAGAACATAGAAAAGTGGATAGTTGAGTATGGACAATGGACTACTACTATTATTTTAGACTAGATTATTGATAGAACAACTGGATTATTTTTACAACCAACGATTTACTGAAGATTACACGAAAAATAGTTTTTAGGTATATTCCTGAGCTATAAAAGCTCAGAAATAAATATACCTAAATCGTCATCATCAGCCGTAAGAGGTATCCTATTGAACATAGGCCACCCTCTTAGAACGCCACGTAAAAAATTGTTCATGATGAAATCAATCATGTTCTAATTATAAGTCGGGAAAGGTACGCCTTAAAAATACTTATACCAATATATGAACATAGCTAACTCAAAATAATGTACATTTTATTTAAGGTTGATATTTTTTATGTAAAATTGGCAAACGAGTTGGCGGTTCCCCTGATAGAGGGGATCTTCAGTAATACCGTCGCCAATCGACATTTGCAACACCCGTAGGGATGTAAATGCGTTGCCACCTTTAAATAAGTGAGCCCCGCCTACCTCAGTCACCAGACGAAACGCAGAACTGTAACACTTCTACTTTACGCCGCTCTTCTGTGAAGTCGTGGTACTTAGCCGGACGGGCCTGCCCTTTCGTGCAACAGGGGAAACTTGCGTGGCCCTACCACTGTTTTTTTTGCACTTATAGTTTAAAAGTAAAACGCACATTATGTCTATTAAATTTTCTATTAAAAATCCAGTTAATACTGAAATAACAATAAATGAAGTTATGAAAGTCTTACATTATGTTAAATTTTCAAGACTCGTTTTCTCTACGTATAATGATGTTTTTCTATATTTCTATAAGACAAAAAATTTAGGTCCAATTTGCCGCCCCCTAAAATTTGCCGCTCTAGGCTCTAGCCTGCTGGTAAATCCGCCACTGAATATTCTAATGATATATCATCATAATCATAAATCATAAGTTATTTTTATTTGGGATATAACAAGTTTAAAAATCATACCAAGGTTATATATTATAATTTCATGCCTAGACGTCAAATGAAGAGGGAGACTCAAAGATACTAAGTACTAGTCTGCTATAGAAACTAAAGAACGCCATTTATCAAAAATATTCGATATTTATAAATACGGATTACTCAGATTTATTGAAATGTAACCCATGGATTCGATAGTTCTCAGTAATCGGTAGGTACTTAATTTGGTTGTTCCACATAACGAACTCTTACTTCATTTATGTTCCTTGCGTGACATACTCCGGCCCAAACCTTTTTTGTTTGCTGCTAGCCCTAGTCTGCTGTAGGGAACCAAAGACCGCCATTTATCAAAAATATTCGATATTTATAAATACGGATTACTCAGATTTATTGAAATGTAACCCATGGATTCGATAGTTCTCAGTAATCGGTAGGTACTTAATTTGGTTGTTCCACATAACGAACTCTTACTTCATTTATGTTCCTTGCGTGACATACTCCGGCCCAAACCTTTTTTGTTTGCTGCTAGCCCTAGTCTGCTGTAGGGAACCAAAGAACGCCATTTATCAAAAATATTCGATATTTATAAATACGGATTACTCAGATTTATTGAAATGTAACCCATGGATTCGATAGTTCTCAGTAATCGGTAGGTACTTAATTTGGTTGTTCCACATAACGAACTCTTACTTCATTTATGTTCCTTGCGT